GGAGACATGGTAGCAGTGTTCCAATATCTCAGGGGTTGCTACAAAGAAGAGGGAGGCAAACTATTTTCCAAGGCACGTGAGGGTAGAACAAAAAGCAATGGGTGGAAACACATCAAGGAGAGAAGCAACTTAGAACTGAGGAGAAATTTACTGACAGTTAGAACAATTAATCAGTGGAACAGCTTGCCTCCAGAAGTTGTGAATGCCCCAACACTGGAAATCTTTAAGAAGATGTTGGATAGCCATTTGTCTGGAATGGTATAAGATTTACTGCTTAGACAGGGGATTGGACTAGAAGACCTCCAAGGTCCCTTCCAACTCTGCTATTGTATTGTAAATACAATAACAAAAAAGAGAGAATTAATTGGTTTTGTAGGACTGGGCATGAAACCCAGCCTTGGGTTCATGATAAATATATCAGGAACCCCTAATACGTATTTCCTAAATATTTAACAACTTACTGCAACAGAAAAATATGACTTAGTTGATGTTTTCCAGTAGACACTTTTTAAAAACAGTTTCTCCGAAGTATTTTTTTAAAACACTGCTTCTTCAATAGTCATAATTTAACATGGCTTAAAGTTTCAACTAATATTTTACAGTCAGATGAAATAGTTACCGGAGGTTATGAGCGTGCTTCATGGCAAATTTCAAGTTTCACTACATCAGGGATGGGCAATTTATAATTCCAAGGCCGTTGAGGACTGCTTCAAGTCCCACTGTGATTGAGATGCCTAAAAAATTACTATCATGGTTTTGCACAGTTTTGAAATGGGCAACATCTGAGAAATGTGTGGTGTAGCCCTAAAACAGGCATAATAGTTAAAAAAAAATCTAAAATCCAGGAAATATTGCAAACTTTTGACTCCATTCATATATTGCCCTATCCACTTTGCATTATTTATACTCTCTACACTGATGTTAGTGAAGAAAATAGATCTGCATATTGAAATGAATTAGAGTCCATGGAAAAACTATTTATTTATTTTATTGCATATGCAGAGATTTGGAGAGATTACAGTTTCAATGTCTGGTCTTAAATGTTACTCATAAGAGAATAAAGATTAAAAAAAAAATGAAATAAATGCCATATGGCAAATATGTGATACATGACATGCATTCCTATTTGCAATCTGCAAAGTAGCATAAATCAAGTGAATATTGCCTATAAGAAATGCCTGAGTAAATTAGCTGTTGCTAAGAAACAATTATGAGGTTTTCGGATGGGGTGTTATTAATATTGTTTTCTTGCAGGAGCTGTTTGAAAATACTCCAGATACATTTAATTCCTTCAGGGATTCTTTTAGATGAATCTTATCAAAAGAACTAAGAATATGATAGAATTCCAAACATTCTTTCTCCTAAGTTACAGAAGTGTTTGGAATCTATGTACTCCTGGCTTGAAACTAAGCATGTGCCTTAACAGTTGTAATAATAATTTACCCCTTTTGCAGCAAAACTCATTAAAATGGATTTTTCGTTGTCTTATGCAGGTTTTGATCTTAATGATCCTGAAAAAGAGAAAGTGGGAATCTTAGCACTGCAACTGAAAGAGAAGAAAGTTCTCCATTCTGTAAGTTAGATTTCTGTTTATAGTTTCTAGTTTTTGTAAGTCCAAATATAACTGCCAATTTTTTTTTATTAGGAGCTAATAATCACCTTGTTGAGTAATGCAGTAACGCAATTCAAGAGATACAAGTGTCCAAGAATGAAAAGTCACTTGAGTAAGTTTCATTTTCAAACACATCTTTAAAAGATGTTTAAATGTGTTAAAGTACTGGAAATAACCTCATTTTCTTTTCAGTGGTTCAGATGGGTGAAGAATATTATTATGCTAAAGATTACACCAAAGCTTTGAAGTAAGTGTGACTTTATAAATGTAGTATGGCATAGTTTTAAATACTTTAATATACCTAGAAACTATGAGAATTAGATTTTTCTGTCTCATCAATATGGTGAAATATATAATTTGGGATCCAAATTATTACAAAAAAATACAAGTTCTCATGGTATACATAATATAGCTCTGATCCTCAATATTTGTCTTTTTCTAAAGTAGGACCAATTATAGGATAACTGTTTTGCAGCTTTCCCTTTTCAGGATTAATGCCTGTACTAACCCTAATTCTAACAACACCAGATTGTTGACCAACTTATAAAATGGTTGACCCACCATATACATTTGCTAAATGTATGTTAAGCTAACTGATCACCAGCAGGTCATCAAGTAGTTATAGTTACTTCTTTATTACACAAATAAATACACTGACAGACTGTGGGATTATGGGAACATTTGAACTTTGTATTGTTTTATTGAAAACTATTTGGAATACAAAGATTCCAAATAATTTACAACACAATAATATAAATCTCTAAACTTTCCTCATTTTCCACAGTCCATAAAATCAAATATAATAAAAACAATTAGCTCAGAGAAACCAAACCATTTTTAAAAAAACCTTGAAGGTAGCCTGATATAACCACATCATAGGTTTGCCGACACAAGAGTCTTTTATAAGATAAATTCAGGCCACAACAATGTTCATAATAGTGAGTCCACCACTGCAAAGAATTGTCTTTTAATGTCACATGGGATGGGAACCCTAAACATTCCCACTCCCAAGACTGAACTCACCGGTTGGGCCAATTGTAATTGAGAATTTATGGAGTTGAAGGAGATATCTAAACCACATAGGGCTTTTTAAGCCACCACTCCTTGGTAACTGACCAAGTTCCTTGGTTACTGATGCAGCGACTAAAGCAAGATATCAAATTAACTGCAATTTTGAAGCATCTTTAAAGGAAGCCCTATATAGAGATGTTGCAATAATCTGATAATGAAGTGACATCCTGAACTGAGAGGCAATGGCTGGCAAAGATCCCCCAGCTTTTGTGCCTTAAGGCGCAACTAGAACTCTCCTGGTTTTGAGCTTGGTCCCTTGACTAATAGTTCAGGTTGGCTCTTCACTTTATAGAAAGTATTACATATATTAAGTTATTTAAATCTTCTGTCTTCTAGGCTCCTTGATTATGTTTTGTGTGATTACCGTAGTGAAGGATGGTGGACTCTCCTGACTTCTATATTGTCCACTGCTCTTAAATGTTCCTATCTAATGGCCCAAATAAAAGATTATATTACATACTCATTAGAGCTGCTGGGCAGAGGTAAGCAAGGCATTTTAATTCTGGTTTCAATCAGAGTTTTTAACAGCAAGTGTGGGCAAGTTGGCAGGCATTTGGAATTGTGTGTGAACAGATATTATTTTATGGTAAAGGATAAATGTGGTAAGCCCAGAAAAATGTGAATAAGGAGCAGTAAGGCATACTTTCTTTTTATGCTTTTATTCCTTGAACTCCCAATAAATTTATTGTAATTTTTTGTTGTCCAGGCATAAAGGTGTCCTCCGTAATAAAAATCAAACCATTTTGTGCTTCATGTTTTCCCATGTGGGACACCATTTATTCTTTGAATGCTGTCCAAAGATTTGAAACCTGAAAGGAAGTATGTTCAGACATAGGCCAGGTGTTCAGTTTACTCTTGATGGAATGCTGATGTGGATATAAATGCAATAGGTTTAAAGTAAAGTATATAATGTCTTATAAGTGTTGGGATTTGATGTTACACAAGATCCCTGTCTCCCTCTCTTGTATGACTGGGAGAATTTAGAAGCTTTTATTCTCACTTTTATTTTATTGTCCTGAAGGCAGGACAAGAAGCAATGGATGGAAACTAATCAAGGAAAGAAGCAAGGAGAAATTTCCTGATGGTTAGCACAATTAATCAATGGAACAACATGCCTCCAGAAGTTATGGGTGCCCCAAAACTGGAGGTTTTAAAGAAGAGATTAGACAACCATTTGTCTGAAATAGTATAGGGCTTCCTGCTTGAGCAGGGGATAGGACTAGAAAACCTCCAAGGTCCCTTCCAACTCTGTTACTCTTCTTAGATTAATTATCATTATTAAAATAATTATCATTATTAAAATTATCATTATTTAAAAAATGTGATTCTTAATTATGGGGTAGTGATTGGTTGGTGATTTCAATCACAAGGTGATTGAAAAGTAATATTGTAGAATTTTGCTTTATGTTAACTATACTAAAATTTAAATAGAGTTTATGATTTGGATGAGATTTAGCTGTAGTTAAACTAAATAAAATGGAAGCTTTTTATTTTTTGATGCTTATTTTCAAGAACAGCAACCATATGAGCTCAAATTACATTATAACATTTTCATCTAATGATTAATTATGGCTTCTGAACTCACCCAAATATAGTTACTGTTTTTTTTAATCTACTATATGATTTAGTGTTTTATTCACCTAATAGTTGCTCAGTTTTCTACAACGTATAGATAACATATTGGATATAATTCCTCTTCCAAACATTTAGAGGACTATTTTAAAGATAACATATTGATGTTATTTATTCATATTAATATGTGTTTTATTGAAGCATCTACTTTGAAAGAAGATCAGAAATCTCGAATAGAAAAGAATCTGGTCAAAGTTCTTATGGTCAGTAGAAAGAAGCAAATTTCTGTGAAATAATCTGCAGAGTTTACCAGCTCTATGCATAGATTTGATCAGTTTAAATAATCTTGTTTTGAATTTAGAATGAGAATCCAGATCCTGAATCTGACTGTGATGTTGCTTCTGTAAAAGCTGCACAGAAATTGTGGGCTGATAGAGTATCCCTGGCAGGCAACAATATCTTTACAATAGAAGTACAAGATTTTGTTCCTTTTGGTATGTATTAAAACTTTTATAACAAAAAAGTAGCACCTGTGTGAATTAGTGTTAAAAAGGTGGAAGGAAAAAACAGCAGGATATATTTTAAATCCATAAATACTTCCATATTTCCTTTTCTTATAAAATGAAGTTCATATTACATACAAAATGAGAACTCAAAATGAGAATAGTATATATATTTTAAAATATCTGAAATGCACTAATATATTGTAGAGGAATGCTTTATTAAAAGTCAAATATTTCTTATTCTTGATTTACTGTATTTTTATATACAACAAAAACAATTCCAAGCAGTTTACATTATAAAAAACATGAAATGTGATGCATAACTTTTTATCCAAATAAAATATAATTTCTGCTACAATGTGGTAGGTGTACTGGTAGCCATTCGTTACCAAAGGCCCTCTCAGGTACCTCTAACAGCTTTTTAAATTGCATCCTAGGCTACTCTGTAAAGATTTCTATTCCAAAGCATATATATTTATAAGGAATTCCTTTGATATGGGTCATAGATTTAAAAACAAAATTATACCCAAATTTTCATATTTGCTTTTAATTTCCTGCTAAATTGCAGTGTGGATAATCTTACCATTCATGTAAATTTTTTGCACGGGATTAGTGGCCATTTTATGTACCATTACCTGTACCTTTGAAATACAATATTATTCAATATTCTGGGCAGCAGACTAGTTGTGCAGGTGCACATCTGCATACAAAAATGCAGATGAGGGAATTGAAATAGTTGTAGTAACAAGCTAAGTATGAGAAAAAATGGTTTATATTTTGAATGTGCTTTCAGCAGAGAGCTAGGTTCAAAAGCACCTCTTTCTGCTTATGTCTGAACGTCCAAGTTCTGTCAACCTTCATCTAATACAGATAGTGTTTGACTTACAATCATTAATTTAGTGACATTTCAAACTTACAAAGGTCCTGAAAAAACAGACTTGTGACCAGTTTTCACACTTAAAACCTTTGCAGCATCCCCATGGTCACATGATCAAAATTCAGGCAATTGGCAGATGGCATGTATTTATGGCAATTATACGGTCCCAGGGTCATGTGATCATCATTTGCAACCTTTTCAGCTGACTTCCAACAAACAAAGTCGATGGGGGAAGCCAGATTTGCTTAATGACCACATGATTCACTTAATTGCAGTGATTTCCTTAACAATTGTGGCAGAAAAGTTCGTAAAATGGGGTGCAAATCTCGTAACAACAGCCTTGCTAAGCAGAAAAAATTTGGGGCTGAATTGCGGTTGTAAGACGAGAACTACCTGTATCAGATAGAAATTGTTAAATATTGTTGCTAAATATAAAATATTTCATTGTTTTTGGTAACATACTTGTCCCCTGATTTTGTTTTGTTCCAAAATCTAGTGCAGTGTAAAGCTAAATTTCTTGCTCCAAGTTTTCATGTTGACGTACCAATTCAGTTTGATGTGTATTTGAAAGCTGACTGTCTGCATCCTCTCCAATTTTCTAAGTTGTGTGTCAATTTCAGTAATCAGGTAATGTTTTTAAAAATATTGCTTTTATGATTCATATGTGCTTAATGGAATGGGGTAGTTGTCATGGTATGTATTGTTTCCCCTAAAATAAACCCCACCCCAAAAAGAAGCCCTGGATTGATCTGGAGCTCTGTTATCATTTGCAGAGGACTTTCCAGAAGGCCATTAAGGCAAAATGGAATCCGGGGACTCCATGCACGTCATTCCAGAGCCCGTTTCTCAGCTTCAGAGGGCTTTCTGGAAGGCTCTGATGGCAAAATGGAGGCTGGGAGTGATGCATGCGAGCGGTGGCAAGCAGCCGCAGAAGTGGGCTCCTGCTGGGCGGTGCTGTTGGTGCGGGGCTTCTGGTTATTTTTTGCATTGTCTACTTCTGCTTATTTTTCTCTTACCATAGGAATACAATCAGTATTGTGTGGTGGAAGAAAATTATCCAAAATGTGACATCCTAGAACCATCTACACAGGGAACATTGTGTCTTATCCCTGGTAAGACAAAAAAGTTCACTTTCAAATTTGTGGCAAAAACAGAAGACGTGGGGAAAAAAATTGAGGTATGTTCTACAAGTTGTTATAAAAATATTAATGATGTTGTTGGTTGTAGTTCAAGAATGTGTGAACAATCATCAGCTAATAAAGTAGGATGCCTTTTCTGCGAAAAATCAAAAGAAGATAAAAACTGGAGCCAGGACCACTACACCATATATAGTTCAGAAAAAGGAATTGTGGAGTTTAATCTTTGGAAAAGTTATAATGACATTAATATCATCATATATTAGAATGCTATAACCTTTAGATATTCCTAAATCCGATTTATTCATTTGTATGTTATTAAGCTTTTTCCATGTTTCTTTTTTAACATTTACTTGTTTTAAACTATTAAAAAAAATATTTTAAAAATCTAAATAAAAACAGGAAGAGTCCAACTGAAATAAATTGGCTCTTGAATGTAATAGAATGTAATAGTGGCATCTTTTAAGATTGTGCACAAATTATAGTAAAAAGAGCATAAAATAGACAAATGCTTCTTTGTAAAAGGACAACCTAAGCTTTCAGAGAATTGTTGTATTTTGGTAGGATTCTGCTAGAAACAAATAAGTAGTGGCTAGGACTCATTTATAAATGCATACACATCATACTAAAAACAGTAATTTACTCTGTAATATAACACTTTAAATGAACTGAAGGATGGGAAACCCGAATATAATCTTTTTTCTTTTCAGATTACCTCAGTGGACCTAATTCTGGGTAGTGAAAATGGCAGGTGTGTGGTCTTGAACTGGCATGGAGGAGGGGGTGATGCTGCTGCTTCTCGAGAAGCAGTGCTGGCAGCACGTTCCTTCAAGAGACGACCCAAACTTCTAAATAATGAGGTTCACTGGGATAGCCTTACAATTCAGGCAAGCACTATGTAAGTATGAATGGGTTCCATGGAGAGAAATAATTCTATGAATGTTTGAGGTTTTAGAATAGAATACAACAAGTAGTTGCTTTCATTGTTCCACCTTTCAAGAAAAAGTTCATCAGAAATTGTGTCGGGGACTGAAAATATTCCACTGTTTAAGAGAATTATGACTTTGTGAGTTAGGATTCCCAAGTTCTGTAACAACAGTTTGCTAATATGTTCTGTAGGGCTTTCACATTCTTAACGATGTTGTTCAAGATAATGTATTATCTGTATTGCAAGAAGCTCTGGAAGGCTTCTACATGATGAAAGGCATTTAGAAATGTTTTCAATACAACTTGACCTCAATTTATCACAATTGGGACCAGAATTTCTATTGCTAAATGATGTGGTCCTTAAGCGACTCATCATATGACTGGGTCTGATTTTACAACCATTTTTACTGTAATAGTTAAGAGATGATTTTGCCTAAATTAAAGCATTCTCCAAAGTTGGTGGAGACAGCGGTCATGCATGGCTTAACTCAGTCAGTAACCAATAGAACTGAGTCTACCAAAGTGATGTCATCGCTTCTGAGGAGTGTCCTCCCGCTTTTTTAGAGTCATTTTGATCGGAACAGGCTGTGCTAATTGCTCTCTCCTCAACTTATCTATTTAAAATTACTGAATTGGCTACCTCAATCTGTTTTAATTGGCTTCTCTAAAAATTTTACTTCTAAATTCCTAGTGAAGGACGGATTGTCAATAATAGCTCCTTTCAGAGCCAGGGCTCTCAATTAGCCCTAGAGCTTTCCTGAGAGGGACTGTCAGGGTTTCTTTGGAGGCTTTCAGCCTCTTGATTTCGCCTGCAGCTTGCAAAGGCTTCCCTGGATGCAGCGCTGCGTAGCACTGGCCGTTGGAGGCTCCGCTTAGCGCTGCTGGCTCTCCCTCACCACCAAACGCCGTCACGGATGCCAGGAAAGCGCCGGCACCGGCGCTGCACACACTGGAGCTACTAAGCGCTCCCACCACCGCTAGACCGCCACTGCTACCACCATCGACTCCACAGCCTCTCCTCAGGGCCCTCACTGCCCTCATTTCTTCCGCGGCCTTGGCTACCTCATGGCGCCCGGCCCATAGGCTCTGTAGCCTCAGCAACCATTTTGTTTTGGCGCGAAGACACTCCGGCGGCCATTTTGACTCTCTCCTTCGGGACAACAAAGTCGTGAGTACAGGCCATGGCTTCCTCTCCTGCCTATGAGCCACAAGTTCCTCCAACTACCCTGACCCTGTTCCCACCACTGAGTCTCCATCCAAGACCCATAAGCGCAGGCCTGCCCCAGAGGCTCCCCCCACTGAGCCCTCTTCCAAGGCTTCCAGATCTAGTCACAGGACCACAGCCAATCCACCTTCTCAGGAAGATGACAATGCCACTCAGGTTCCTCCTAAAAAGGCCAGGGGCAAGACCAAACACATGGAATCCCATCTGTTTCAGCCCCAGAGGACTGTTCAACCTAGTCCTCCTCCTGACCTATCTTCTGATTTGGAGGATGATCTCTCCCCTGTAGCATTCATTATCCAACCTGAGGAAGCCAGGGGCACAGGCGATCTGGCTTGTAGTGGGGATGAATCCGAGGGTGGCAGGAGCGTCACTCCTGATGGGAAGCCCTTGTAGCAAGATGATATCTCTCCCCCATCCGCTGCCGTTCTTATTCACTTGGCATGGCTGATATCATATCTGAGGCCATTGAACGAGGCATAGCAACAGGACTTAAGCACAGGTCTTCTAACCATTTTACTCCACGCAGGTCGTCATCTTCTTCTGGTTCCAAATGCAGGAATAGTGATCTCTCGGCTTCTTCATCGCATGAGCTATGTCTGCTTTCTTTAGTCGCTCTTCTCTCTTATGGCTAAGCAACTTCAAGGGAGACTTCTGGCCCAGGATTCTAGGGCTCGCAGGGACATTAACAAATTTAAGGCGGACCTAGAATACACTGCAGACTTCAGACGTGGCCCGTTTCGCATCCAAAGTCATAGCATCCTCTATTACTACTTGCTGGCTCCTCTGGCTGAAGCAGTGGCAGGCGGAGGCCCGAGCCAAGTGGAGACTGGCCTCCTCTCTCTATTCTTCCTCCCTTCTCTTTGGTCCTCCCTTAGTACCTCTACTAGTAGAGTCCAAGGATAAGTGGAAAGTCCTGCAACTGGCCACTAAGAAGCAGGAGGGTTGGAATCAGTCCTTTTATCGTAGGCAGCCCTTTCGTGGTCAGGACAAGGGTTCCTCCAACTCCCGCAATGTCAGGCTTCTCCCAGACAGGGCCCCTCCTTCTCCAACAGATCAGGCAGAAACAACTAGAGATTTGAGCCCAGAAAGTTATTCAGGGACAATATCAACTCCCCTATACGAGGCAGAAGTGACTGCCTGGAGGATCTCCCGATGGGGGATGTCTAGCAGCCTTTGCAGATCGTTGGGACGACATCACCAACCACGCGTGGGTCAGTTCCACTATGAGATTCGATCTTCTCTTGGACTTGCGCTCCAGCCCTCCGAACCACTTTGTCATGTGCCCAATATCCAGGGACCCTCACAAGAGGTTCCTAGTAGAGCAGGCCATCCATCATCTGTTCCACATTCGGGTCATTCAACCTGTGCCTCCAGGCCAGGTGGGATGGGGTTTTTACTCTCGTCTCTTTATCATGCCAAAGTCTACGGGGGGCTGGAGAGCAATTCTCAAATTTCTAAATCAATTCATCAGGTACAGGAGATTCAAAATGCTCTCTCTCCTGTCAATCCTGAAGAGTGTGTGCAAACACGATCTCCTCACATCAGTGGACTTCATAGAGGCTTACCTCCACGTACCCATTCACAAGCAACACAGACAGTTCCTACGCTTTGTCTATGCGGGCTGTCACTTTCAGTATCGGGCCCTCCCCTTTGGGCTGTTATCAGCCCCAAGGGTTTTCACCAAACTCCTGTCAGTCGTATCAGCCCACTTGCGAGCCAGACCCATTCGGATCATGTGCTACCTGGACGACATTCTCCTGTTGTCCAGATCATACAACCAGGCTCTTCGGGATCTCCAGGACACCTTACAGGTGTTTCAGGAGGTGGGATTCTCCATCAATCAGGAGAAGTGTCACCTTGTCCTCATCTCACGTCTAGTGCACTTGGGAGCCCTCATCAATTCTTCTCAGAGGAAGGTCTTCCTGTCTCAGGAATGCCAGATCATCCTCAGAGACTTGGCCAACAAAGTGCAGAGGAGACTGCTGGTCCCTCTTCTCCAGCTGTTTCAACTGCTGGGGAAGATGGTCACATGCTTCTCCATCGTTCCTTGGGCACGGCTTCACAGCCGCTGCCTTCAGTGGTTTCTTCTGCCATTTCAGAAAATCAACAGCAGCTGTTCCCTAAGGAAAGTCAGGTTGACACCAGAGGTAATCCAATCTCTGGACTGGTGGATCTCTCCGGCCGTTTTTCGGAGGTCCCTCTTCAGGGAACCTCCATGTCTGGTCATGATGGAACGAGTTTAATGGGATGTGGTGCTCACCTGGAAGATCAAGTGGCTCAGGGTCTCTGGTCCAATTCCGACCTTTCCCACAGTATGAATTGGCTAGAGTTGAGGGCCATTCATCTGGCTCTCCTTCATTTCCAATCCTCACTTCTCAACACACACGTGCTGATTTGGACAGACAACACAACAGCCAAGGTGCACGTCAACCGCCAAGGGGGGAACGAGGGCGGTATCTCTCATGGAGTCTGCCTTTCGCCTAGGGATCTGGGTGGAAGCCAATCTTCTCTCTCTCCATGCCGAACACATCTCAGACACCGACAATACCTGGGCAGACTGGTTGAGCCACACAACAATCAACCCTGCGGAGTAGAGCCTGAACCGTCGCATCTTCAGACAGCTGTCATCCAGGTACACGACTCCGGTGCTAGATTTATTCGCAACGGCATCAATAAGCAGCTGCCCAGGTACCTGTCTCGTTACATGACACCAGGCGCAGAAGGGACTGACGCCTTAAGGTGCAGGTGGCCTCACGATCTCCTGTACACCTTCCCTCCCTTCCCCCTGATACAGAGGGTGATTCAGAAAATGATAGAGGAAGAGGCCGAACTCATCCTAATCGCCCCTCATTGGCTGCACCGACCCTGGTATGTGGACCTGGTCAATCTCTTGGTAGGCCCAGCGTGGCATCTTCCAATGATAACGTCCCTTGTTCATCAGGGGTCCATTCACCATCCCGACCTGTCCTGGCTCTGTCTGACCGCATGGAAGCTGAACGAGTGGTCTTGAGGGCAGCTAACCTTTCTGAGACAGTAATTTATATTGAACTATTCAGGCTTCTTGTCGCCCAGCCCCTAACAGAATCTACGAATCAACGTGGCAGACTTTCATTACTTGGTGCCGCTTTCGAGATGCCACCCCCTGGAGGCTTCGGTCCCCCAGGTTTTGGAGTTCTTGCAACAGGGGCTTGATAAGGGGCTCTCGCCAAACACCCTACAGCAACAGGTATCGGCTCTCTCTTTGGTTCTCTCACTTCACTGGGATGAGCCTCTTTCCTTGCACCCTCATGTCTGCCACTTCATTAAGGGCGCATCTAATCTCTGCCCTCCTGTCATACACTGTTTCCCCTCATGGGATCTAGCCAAAGTCCTTGACTTTCTCACTGAACCGCCCTTTGAACCTCTCAGGTCAGCCTCATTGCATCACCTTACACTGAAGACAACCTTTCTGGTGGCCATCATGTTGGCACGGTGAGTCTCGGAATTGGCGGACCTTTCCATCCAATCTGACCTGTGTGTATTTCACCCGGACCGTGTGGTCCTTCGCCTTGATCCCACTTTTGTTCCAAAGGTAAATTTGGCCTTTCATCGATCTCTAGACTTCACTCTTCTAAATTTCTGTCCTAATCCTTCTCACAGACTTGAATGCACATGGCACAGGTTAGACGTGCAACATGCTCTTAAGATCTATATCGCAAGATGGCCATCTTCAGGCGCACTGAAGCTCTCTTCATGTCTTTTCATCCCACCAATAAGGGGCTAAAAGCTTCTCCGTCTATGGTTGGGCACTGGATCCGATCTGCCGTTTCAAGAGCTTACTTGGCACATCACCTCACTCCTCCATCCAACATCACAGAGCATTCCACACACAGTGTGGCTACGTCGGTGGCATGGACAAGGCAGGCCTCGGTGGAGGAGATCTGCAAGGTGGCCACCTGGACTACTTCTACTCCCTTTATCCGCCATTATAAGGTGGATAGATATGCTTCGGCTAATATGGCATTCGGACGACGGATCCTTCAACAAGTTCTTCCCTCTTCAAGCTCCTAACCCAGTCACATTCCAGCTGGGGACAGGCCTAGCTTTGATACGTCCCATGCATGACAGCTGTCTCTACCAACTTTGGAGAATGGAACGTTGGTTCTTACCTGATACACCCCTTCTCTGGGCAGGTAGAGACAGTGGTCATCCCCACCCTTTCAGGCTCTGACCTAGTTCACAGAGGGAGATGTGGGAGAAATGCTGGAGCATCAAGGAATTGAGAGCAATCGAATAGCACACAGCAGTTTACTTATCTCCTTCGTCAAGAAAGCGGGAGGACACTCCTCAGAGGCGATGACATCACTTTGGTAGACTCAGTTCTATTGGTTACTGGCTGAGTTAACCCATGCATGACTACTCTCTCCACCTTCCCAGAGAAGGGGCGTATCAGGTAAGAACCAATGCCCCATTTTGTGGCCCTTAAAATAGCTTCTAATGGCTACAGGAATACCATCTATGCTTGTTTGTACACTATAAAGAACATATTAGAAGAGGGTAAAAACAGGAAGAGTTTGAAAAGTACACACAATAGTTTGAACTTACTTGCCATGCCTATAGAATAGCTGTTACTATACATGCAGAGGTTTGTAGAACAACAGCTCAACTAAGGAAGAAGATAAAACTAAGCAAGATGACTTGTTTCTTGTTTTTATTCAAGGATCATTTCTAGAGTGCCTAACATTTCTGTCCAGCTTTCTCATGAACCTCCTGCCCTAATGAATGAAATGTATTGTTTGACTGTGACAATCGAGTCACATGAGAAGACAATTGCCAAAGATGTAAAGCTCACAGCAGGCTTAAAACCAGGTATTCACTATGTAACATGATATACTGGCTCAGTCATAATCCTCAAGGAACTTCTAATTGTGGAGAGGTTTAAACCACTCCCTTCTCTTTTATTAATAGGGCAAGTCAATAATTCAGCAATTAGATAGTAGAAGACAAATGAAAAGTTCATTTAATAGCTAGATTTCATGAAGTGATATGCATATTATTTAGATATGCTAACTTAAATATTTGATGACTTTGAAATCTAACATTCATTTATATAAAATGGTATATTTTTACTTTAGCAGAATCTTCTTCAACGTAGTGCTTACTTATGTTTTACCCTACTATAGTTATTCCCAATTGGCACATTCTGCCATTTCTTAGGGAATTAGTTGGGAGAGCAGGTTTTAGAACATTGCAACATTTAACGATGTAGATTATATTATATCTTGACTTGCCTATTCTTTCACTGGCAAAGCAAAGTCAGGAATTTTCAGAATGCAATGTTGTCACTGTGACAGTTGTGAATAACTAAAGTTCATAACTGAAATAATTTTCTCCATTGATAATTTTGATACTTCTAGCGTTGCCTTAATATGGCGATTCTGGGTTGAAAATTAGAGACTTGCTTCAAAAATGATGGTAATTGTCTGAAATCTCGTAAAATATATTATTTAAAATAGGTTAAAGCTTTGTTTTGTGTAAAAGGAACGCATAAATATGCATCTGAAATTCTTAAAACTCGCATGCATTTCATTTGTTTACTGGCAATAACACATATTAAAATATATTACATTCATACTAAACTTAAAATCTGCATTATCTTGATAAGTGCATCAGTCATTCTCTAAATAAATATTTACAAGCAAGAGACACACATATATAGTACATATAAAGATATACATATATTCTCTTTATATATTCATACACATTGTTGTCTTCTAGGCCAAGATGCAAATTTGACTCAAAAAACACATGTAACTCTGAATGGAACAGAAATGTGTGATGATTCCTACCCTGCCTTGCTTCCTGATATCCCTCTGGGAGACTTGCAGCCAGGTGAAAAGGTAGTGTGTTATGTTATCAGTATATATTAAATATGACATATTTAAAACTATTTTGGAGACAGTAACCCCAATACAAAATCTGTTCAGTTTTAGAATTCTTCTATGAACAGGGTTAGTTCTGTATACAGTAGAATCTCTCATCATGAACGCTTCTGACCACAACCAAATCGGGTTCCGACTCAAAAATTCACGTTTTTTCCCCGCAGCCAATTTCCCCTTCTGCGCCACTTTTTTGCAAGCACCAAATTCCTAAAATTAGGTTCAGATCACCATCAAATCGGTTTGCAACCAAGGTTATGGAACAAATTATGGTTGTGACCAGAGGTTCTACTGTATTGTTCTTAGGATGAAGACCTGTGAATAAGCAAGCTATTAAAATAGAAATTGATTTCAGAATGTCAGCTTCAAAGATTTATTCAAATAGCAAATAATAATCTGCCCCTTTCTCATAGTACCATTAGAAGCAAATTAGAAAAAAAAAGATGGGATTAATTTGCAATCAGAACCCAAGAATTTTTTTAAGGTTATGCACATTTTTAAATTGAGCAGTATTTTAAAGTCTTTGACCTTTTATTTATAACTAGTTTGTCTGTCTGTCTGTTTGTTTCTTTTACAGTTGGAAAAAATTATATATATTCACTGTGGAACAGTTGGTACTAGGATGTTTCTTGTGTATGTTTCTTACCTGGTGAATGCAGTCATTGAAGGAAAAGAAATTCTTTGCAGGTGTCACAGGGTATGTTGGTAAACCTAGGTTAAGGGTGGTTCAAGACCACCAGCTTGCAGTTGATTGAGTATCACATAAACATTGCAGGAAATTAAGGTTTCAATAATATTGAATTGATATTTTAATATTCATTTCCCTATTTTCTCTCTCTCTCTCTCTCTCTCTCTCTCTCTCTCTCTCTCTCTCTCTCACACACACACACACACAAACACACACACCTGTTAAATGTCTCTGTGAACTCTGGGGGGTTTATAAATGCTTCTAATTAAATAAAGTATGATTGAAAGCATACAATATTTATAATATATTTACATGTTTATGTGCTTTAGGGGGATGGTGCTCAGCATAAACATTCTGAAACCTTCTAAT